ATCTGGAAAGACCTGTAAGAGAGGAGACAGAGTTAATAGCTCACTCTTTCAGTGATCAAAAGATCTGGACTGTCTTCACTATTCATCTGCTCTGGTTTCATCAAATATACTCACCTTTGCCATTTGAGTCTGTGTTCCCTGACAATAATTAATATAACATGCTAGATGAATGGAAAGTGAACTGAGACAATATTGAGATCTGAGCACACTTTTGTGGGATGGGGACCATGAAATAAAAAAAATGGTTTCTTTGTAGTCCACTTAAAGGTATACTTCTCCCAAAAATGAAAATTTGCTGACTTTTTTACTCATCCTAGTGTCATCCAAAATACAGATGAGTTTCTTCATGGGATCAGATTTGGAGAAATGTAGCATTCCATCACTTGCTCAGCAATGGATCCTCTGCAGTGAATGGGTGCCGTCAGAATGAGAGTCCAAACAGCTGATAAAAACATCACAATAAGCCACAAGTAATCCACACCACTCCAGTCCATCAGTTAACATCTTGTGATGTGAAAAGCTGCATGTTTGTAAAATTCATCATTAAGATGTTTTTAACTTCAAACCATTATTTACGGCTAAAATACATAAACCATAATAATGCTTCCTCCAGTGAAAAAGTAATCTCGTCTGAATCAGGAGAGAAATCTGCACAAATAAAGCACCGTTTACAAGTGAAAACCATCCAAAATAGTTCTCAACAAACATGTGGGTGGATTTTGATGTGAGAGGACAGCAGGGGATGGACGTTTTCACTGGAGGAAGCATCATTCTGGATTAAGGACTGGTATTTTTGCCAGAAGCGACGGTTTGAAGTTAAAAGCATCTTAATGATGTATTTGTTTCTTACAAACATGCAGCTTTTCACTTCACAAGACATTAACTGATGGACTGGAGTGGTGTGGATTATTGTGATATTTTTATCAGCTGTTTGGACTCTCATTCTGACGGCACCCATTCACTGCAGATGATCCATTGCTGAGCAAGTGGTTTCATGCTGCATTTCTCCAAATCTGTTCCCATGTAGAAACAATCTCGGATGGCCTAAGGGTGAGTAAATTCTTAGCAAATGTTCATTTTTGGGTGAACTATTCCTTTAAATGGGTCTGAGTTTCTTTTCAAACATCCAGCAGATTTAACCAGTGTATTTAAATATCGCATTTCCTCTTGTAACGCACTGTACTCATTACTTATTTACCTTTAAGGACTGTTTATATTTACTCTGATAAGGGAGCAGTGAGAATCCTGCTCGTTTTACTACCTTGTGACTTTAAAAGGTTAGGTCTGGTAAATGCTTGTCAGGTAGATTTATAGAGCCGGTCCTAGCGAGGGGTTTTCCTCCTCCTCTGTCTTTTTTGTGTCTTGTAGGTCTCTCTTACTGATTAAACAGTGGATCGTTTACCTCATTTGGAGATGATGTCACTGTGGGAGGCTGTGATTGGCTGAAAGGCTTGCTAACCCCGGCCCTGCTGGGGAGCACTGACCTCCTTTTCCTCTTTGAAAGAGGACTGGCGTGTCCTCCCTACCAATCTGCCTTTCTCACACACTCTGTCAACCCCCATCTATCGCTCTGCCCATATACCTTACAGGGTCATTCCTGCTGTGCAGACCCTTTTAACTCTGTAACTTTGAAGAAATGTATATGTCTTTGTCTTGTAATTTAAGGAAGTATTTCGATAAAAGGGTATATTAGACTTTATGAAATATGACTATTGTTTACACAGACAAGACAATTCTCAGAATGTTCATTAAGAGTTAAAGCTTTTACCTACCTTCTGACATGTTGATATTATCAAGCTGATTTGTATAATTAGATCAGATAGGGTGGAGTGGCTTATTGAAGGCTGTGCTGTTGTTTTCCCACCAGAATGATGTCACTTCTTGGGGAATGATGTCATTTAGGAACTGGCGTTTGTTAGTTAAAAAGATTTTTGCAAAAGATTGACAGAATGGAAAGTGGGGAAAGGAAAAAAGGAATCCCTGTGTTCAGTGTACCTCCAGTTCTGTCATTATTTATTTACCTTCATGTCGATCCAAACCTGTATGCTGTTTTTTCCTGCAGATCTGCATTGATTGGGACTCCAAAAAAGACAAAGCAGCACCTTAAAATGTGGCTTGTGTGCTTTATTCCAAGTCTTCTGAAGACATGTGACAAAAAGACTCAATTTTAAATAATAGTGAAATTAATTACTGAAAATCTTCTCCTCTGCTGCAACTCTCAAATCCTCTTTGTTGCAATACATGCATTTATTTTTTTTTCATCTAAACTTATCTTAACTAAGAGCTACAGCAGCAGTTTTCTTATCATTAAGTAAACCTAAAACCATTAAAAAAATTTTTCGGTAACTGAAATAAAGTAAAATATAAAAAGATTAACGTGAAAAAAATGTAACTTTATTTTGTACCAAAATTACAAGTAAAACTAAAAAATAAAGCTAAATAGAAAAAAAAAACGAGAAAAGTACATTGCAAAATTACTAAAACTAAAATCAATTGAAAACCGAACATGTCAAAATTTAAGCTAATTCAGGATAGTAATAAATATTATTAGCCTAGTATATAAAAAATACTAAAATAACACTTCACAACAAAGGGGGAGGAATTTCTTTCAATAGCTTACAGGTTTGAAACATCATTTTAAAATATGAACATCTAAATATGAACAAAACTTTTAGTTTCAGTAAAACTGACAAATAAAACTAAATTAAAGCTAATGTTAAAAAAAAAAACTAATAAAAATTACAAAAGCACATAACAAAATTACTAAAACTTAAAACAAAATAAAAATTGACTGGAAATATAAATAAAGCTAATTCAGAATATTTCAAAATACTATAATGTATATAAATAATACTAAAATAACACTGTACAGCAAAGAGGGATACATTTCTTCAACAGTATACAGGTTTGAAATGATACAGGGGTGAGTAAATAACATAATTTCTTTTTGTATGCACTGTACCTGTAATGTTGTGATTAAATTGAAAAAACTAATATGATTTCATGACACATGGTGAGGACATGAACATGTACTGCATATCAGAAGTGACACTCACTTTCTCGCTCTCTCTCGCCCTTCACCTTTCAGTCGGGGTTGACCCGTCGGGTCTCGCGTTTAGCCAGCGGGTTTCTAATTGCTGGGATTCATGTGAAGGGCAGGGGCCTGTCAAGACTGTGTGAATAGGTAGGTGGGGCAAATCTTGTGACTTTTCTGCCTCCCTCCCCCTCCGGTGTGTGTGTGCGGGGGTCAGACGAGCGGGACTCACCCCGGCCGGATAAACAGTGGCAGGTGATTGGACAGAACCATGGTGACATGCAGCAGCGGAGGCTGCACTGAGCCGCTCTCTCTAATTACCTCATTTGAGCTCGGCAGAGAGACCGAGAGAGAGGAAGCTCGCTGCTCCCCGGCAGATACTTGCGTTTATGTTTTATGTTCACTCAACTCTTGAGAAATGCTGTGCACTCAGCCCTACATAAGCTCCCGAGCTTGTCCCAAATCACAGCCCTGTCTGCCGCCTAGTACAGGGGTAAGTTGCTTTGAAATACCAATTTATGTGTGCTTTTCTTGTATGTGCGCGTGTGAAATCGATGCAAACTGTTGGAGGGCTGCTGTGCTTCTCTGTGGGATCACAGATTCGAGCTGATAAATGAAACTCTAACAGCCTTAAAACAAGGTTTCGGAGATGATATTGAGTTCTCCAGCCTGTAGGTTTTCTGCATATGAGGTGTAGCAGGGAACTATAGCGCTCATGAAAGGCAACATGAGCGCTTCTGCAGCACAGGCTGTCTGCACTTTGAATGAATGGGTTGTTGCATACTGTATATAGGACATGAAGTGAAATTTAGTTCTCAAGGGACAGTAAAGGAGTGTAACTGTATCTGATATAATGGCAGTGTGACCAATAAACTTGCTGCTTCATTTGCATGTAAAAATGGGGTTGTGTTCGAAATAGCATAGTAGCATTCTGCTCTTAATGTTGCTGCAGTATGTAGTACATATACTGTACATAATATGTGATTTTTTTTCTCTCTGACCTACATTGCTAGATATAGGCTACTAAAATGTTCAGTATACAACAGTGCTTATGTAGGGTACTGTATCCCACAATGCAGTGCGCTTGATTTGACCTTCCGTTTTCAGTATGATGAATGAACCCGAAGTAATGTCAGCATTTTTAAGCATCTAGCATCCTGCTAAAAATTATTTTACACACAATTGGGTAAAAAATGCTAAAAAAAATGCCCCAAAAAACAATAAATAAATAAGTAAGGTTGGGTGCCATTTGCTAAATTTAACATGCAAATTGATATGATCATGGGATATATATATATATATATATATATATATGTAAGTATGTATGTATGTATGTATATTATGTATGCATGTATTACAGTTCAAAAGTTTGGGGTCAATAAGATTTAATTTTTAAAGAAATTAATACTTTTACTCAGCAAGGACGCATTAAATTAATCAAAAGTGAAAGTAAAGACATTTATAATGTCCCAAAACATTTGTATTTAAAATACATGGTGTTCTTTTGAACTTTCTATTCATTAAAGAATCCTGAATCATCACGGTTTCAGCAAAAATATGATTTGAAATTATTCTTGAGTGGCAAATCAGCATCTTAGAATGATTTCTGAAGACAATGAAGACTGGAGTAATGATGCTGAAAATTCAGCTTTGATCACAGGAATAAATTACATTTCAAAATATATTCAAATAGAAAACAGTTATTTGAAATTTTAACAGTTTTTCACAAGATTACTGATTTTACTGTATTTTTTTTTTCTACAAATAAATTGCAGCCTTGGTCAGCAGAAGAGACTTCCTTTCAAAAAGATTTAGAAAATTTGATCAACTCCAAACTTTTATTAATGTATTTATGTTTGTATGTATTTAGTTAGTTATAGATAGTAAGCAAGCAGTCTGTTAGTATTCAATTCTGAATGCAGCCAAAGCCTCTATCTGGTTTCATTTATTTCTTACTGTGTTGCAGGTAATCAAAGTGTACAGTGAAGACAACACCAGCCGTGCAGTGGAGGTGCCCAGTGACATCACTGCCCGGGACATATGCCAGCTGTTCATCCTGAAGAACCACTGCATTGATGACCACAGCTGGACCCTGTTTGAGCAGATGCCACATCTGAGTATCGGTAAGCAAGTAAAGAAATGCAGCTAATACCACAACAAATGGATGCACTGAATTTTTTGGTGCATTGTCACAGAATACAATGCAGTCAAACATAAAGAGCATATGAAAACATTTAATAATCAATTTAAACTGATTATTATTAGGAGGATGTACATTGTTATTCTAAAGAGACAGTATTAATAAAGTCCTTATGTGTGCTATATGTTTTTTGAAGTATGCTTTTGTTTGAAAATCTTGACATCCACCCGTGTTATTTTAGTATTAATTATATATTAAAAATAGTATTTAATTCAATTTTTCAATTCAATTCAAGTTTATTTGTATAGCGCTTTTTTTACAATACAAATTGTTGCAAAGCAACTTTACAGCATTTACAGTATTAATGTTTTGAATCAGCTTTTAATTTTCATTTGTTATTTGTAGAAATTTTGCTGTATGCTTTTGTCATTTTTATTAGTTGTTTATCCTTTTATTGTTATATATATATATATATATATTCATTTCTATTTGAATTTATTTTTATTTCATTTTTAGTTTTATTGATTTTAGTACTTGAACTTTAAACTTATTTATTTCAGGTTCAGGTAACCTTATTTATTTCAGACATTTCTAATTTTAATTTATTGAACCTAAGTTTTGTAAGTTTAAGTTTTATATATTTTATACGTTTTTATTTTATTTTATAACAATAATAACTATTGCTACTTTGATCGTATTTTTTTCATATTTAATTTTTATTTTAAAATTTCTAAAGAACTTTGACTCTTTCATAGTAAACAATGACATGATCAATAAGTCATGGCAGTATGTTTTTTTTTCCATAAATATATCTTATGAAAATAATTTAAATGATTTCAACATTCTTTTTGAAGTTATTCAAGCTTCAGCTTGATTTTTAAAGTCAGTTTAATCTAATTAACTTGTACAGTCAGTTTGATTATACAAAAAATAAAATCATGCGGCAACCTATATATGATATGATATACCTGATATGAAAATAACACTGATACACAAACAGAGTTGCTACATTTTGCTGTCATTCTATTATCAACAGAATTACTAGCAGCAATATATGAAGAAAAAATTATATGTAAAATTGCAACTTTGACTCTTTGATACTTTTTATGACTAAAATGATGTTTAACTTGAAATGATTGTCTTTTAAACCATTATATAAATATTTCAATATATTCTAAATATCATCAAATACATAAATACTGACATATATTGAATGTTATCAAAAGGCTGAAAATATTGAGATGCAAATGAAACCATGAATTGAAGAGAGATCATCAACAGCATGGAGATGACGTTTGGTCATAGCCAATGCAAACAGCATTATTGCAGTATTGCAGTAAAGATCTGTCCGTTCACTGCAGTAACGCTATGGGAATTAGTTAGTATGAGATAACAGTAGTCAGACTCTTCCAGGTGGCTGCTTCTAAACAGATGCTTTCCATTCAGTCATTAAACATGCATTTAGGGCTGCAGGAGCTGAATAATATTTAATGATAAAGTGGAATAACGAGCTCCCCCGCACATCACTCTCATTACTATTGAAGGTTGCTCATTATCAAGGCATAATTTTTGAAAAGAGTGTTAATAATTAATCTGTCAAGCCCACGGTGCAATAGGATAGTAAAACTATAAGAGCTGGAAACCAACGAGGGCAATAAAATCTCATACTATTAAACTCTAGATTCTGATTGGATAAGCCGTGTTTAATGCTATAAAATGCTGAAAAACAAACACCTGTAACGGCATGTGAGATAAAAGTTGCTACAGTACATTATTCAGAAAACATTAACACTATATAAGTCTCTTGCTCACCAAGGCTACATTTATTTGATCAAAAAAATTTTTTTTAATCCGTTTTATTTATTGTTTTTGTCTGTTCAGAACAACACTGTAGCACTTTGCCCAAGACAAATTTCCTTTCGGGGACAAAATAAAGTTTATCCTTATCCTTATCCTTATCCTTAAAAATACAGGGGGAAAAATTTGAATATTGTGAAATGTTATGTTTTCTGTAATATATTTAAAAATGTAATTTATTCCTGTGATCAAAGCTGAATTTTCAGCATCATTACTCCAGTCTTCAGTGTCACATGATCCATCAGAAATCATTCTAATATGCTGATTTGCTGCTCAAGAAGCATTTATTATTATTATTATCAATGTTGAAAACGGTTGTGCTGCTTTAAATTTTTGTGGAAACTGTGATACTTTCTTTCAGGATTCTTTGATGAATAGAAAGTTCAAAAGAACAGCATTGATTTGAAATAGAAATTCAAACAAATAGACTTTTGTAAAATTAAAAGTGTCTTTACAGTTACTTTTGATCAACTTAATGCATCCTGTCTTAGTCTTCATAATCAAAATCTAATAATTCACTGTTCACGTTACAAAGTCCCAACCTACATTTTTTCTAGTTAATTATCCACTTTTAATCACCTTACGTTAGTCAAATAGGTTACATATTTCACTTTATGTTCTTTAATGCACATAATGTGCTTTAGTGCACATGTATGGTTCATAAATTCATAAGCAGGTACCAAACTAAGTCTTGTTTGTGATTTCCAGAGAGAACCATAGAAGACCATGAGTCAGTTATGGAGGTTCAGTCAGGCTGGGGAATGGACTCTCACTGCTGTCTGTACTTCAGGAAGAATTATGCCAAATATGAGTTCTTCAAGAAGCCTCTAGTAAGTGTGTGTGTGTGTGTGTGTGTGTGTGTGTGTGTGTGTGTGTGTGTGTGTGTGTGTGTGCGTTGACACATGCTTCCCTGCTAATGTATAATTGATTTGCTTAGGTTTAACCTAACATCCAAGGTTACCTATTCAAGGTCATTAAAGATTGAAACAGAGACACACAATAGGGCCCTTTAATTGTACTGGTAAAGAATTCAAGGTAATGCCTAAATAATAAAGTACAGATAACTAACTCCTGAGATTTTCAAGGTCACGGAACCTAATATCAGATTTAACAAAGGGCCTTTAAGTGGTTTCTTTTATAGTAAACTTAAAATGCTCCTAATACTTGACAGATTTCTTTGGAATAGGTGTCAAATAGGTGAAATTTCATGTCTCTATGACAGAAACCGCAAGTAAACCTCTCTCTCTCTCTCTCTCTCTCTCTCTCTATATATATATATATATATATCTCCAAAAGATGGACACAGTTTTTGTTTTTTTTCATCTGTACTTACTTAGTGCAACTTATAATTAAAAAGGATCACCCCCCTGCTAAAAATGACTTGTAAACTCAATCAGGTGTAGCTAATCACCTTCTCGATGGCACACAAAGCCATTTCAGAATCAGAATCAGAATCAGAAGAGCTTTATTACCAAGTATGTTTACACACACAAGGAATTTGACTTGACGACAGGAGCTTCCAGTGTAGAAGAAAGTACAAACATAGTGCAGACATACATGATAGTGCAGACATACATAGGAATAACACCAAAGGCTTTATCAGTGAAGTCTATTATTAAGAAGTTGAAGGTATTTTTGTACAACACAGAGCCTCCCTGGATCAGGACGTGGCTTCAAACTGGATGAAAGAGCCGGCGGAAACTGGTCAGAGAGGCGACCAAGAGGACGACAGCAACTCTGAAGCAGCTGCAGGAATTTATGACAAAGAGTGGTTATTGTGTGCATGTGACAACAATATCACAAATTCTCCACAAATGTGGCTTGTATGGGAGGGGTGCAATAAAAAAGCCACTCCTCAAGAAAGGCCACATGCAGTCAGACTGAGCTTTGCCAAAACACACCTTGAAGATTCTGAGGCAGATGAGACTAAAATTGAATTATTTGGCCTCAACTCCAAACGATATGTCTGACATAAATCCAATCCAGCTCAGCATCCAAATAACAGATTCCTCCGGTAAAGCATGGAGGAGGTAATATCCTGTTCTGGGTGTTTCTCTGCAGCAGGGACTGGAGCACTCGTGGGGCAAAATACCGTCAAATTCTTGAGGAAAATCTGCTGCCGTCTGAAAGAAAGTTGTCAATGGGAAGAAGGTTTACCTTCCAACATGACAATGACCCAAAGCACACAGCAAAACTGAGCTCACAGTGGTTGAAGGATGTCTAGATGTGCAGAGTTAGTAGAGACGGAGACAGATCCCAAGAGACTAAAGGCTGTAATTCAAGCAAAAGGTGGTTCTACAAAATACTTACACAAGGGGGTGATCCTTTTTCCAACTCGGTGATTCTGTTTTTTTTATTTATTTTTTTTTCTGACATGTTGGTGTTATATCTTTCACTTGGATGTTACTTGAGGAAATACCGCTGGATAAAACAAAAACTGTGTCCATCTTCATTTCAGGCTGCAAAGCAACAAAATGTGATTATATTAAAGGGGGCAGATTCTTTTCTATACTCACTGTATGTGTGTATATGTGTATATATACACACACACATATATATGCAACTTGCTGGATTTTGTTTAGATGCTAATTACTAACACTGTGTTTAAGAGTGCAGTTAGCTTAAATGATATGCTGAAAATTACCTCAAAGTTAAACCTCGAATTTTTGTGAAGATGCTGGATTTATCTGTGTCATTGCAGGACTTTTTCCCAGAGCACATGGTGTCTGTATCCAGTGAAAGCAATGGAATCATGAACCACTCACAACTTATACAGGTGAGGATCTTCATCTTATGCTATTATTATTATTATTAATAAAGGCGCACAGAGTCATTATCCGTTTCTCAATATGTGTTCTTGTCTGTACTTGTGGGCTTGTAAAACATCATCAGTCGTTGCCCAAGTACTGTTCCAATTCAAAGTGAACATCTAGCCAAGTACATTTCAAACCTCGGATGTGTTTTTGCTCCGCCCCTTTTATCGAGGATGCATCAAAAGGTGATTTGTGCAAACTTGAGGCAGCCAGGTATCCGTGACCCATGAGCATTAATGTCGGAGGAGAAAACCTGCATTATTTTCAAAATACTACTGTTATTATGTCATGAAATACAGAGTTCTGGCATGGAACTCTAGATGGCGCAGTCCAATAGGTCTAACTCAATCTGACCTAATGACATCATTATCACATGGCACAGCTGATTAGTTCTCTCCTGTATCAGTAGCCAATGAGCTCACTGCTCAACATTCAAATATATGACTAGTGCTTGCCGTAGCAGTTGCAGCTTGCTTCAGAAACCCTCCACCTTCCCCAGCACCACCTGTATAGATCTGCTATATCTGTATGATCTGTATAATCCCACCAAGGGTTGTCATGACAGAAATTTAGTTCTAAGAGTTTTTCAGACGAGATTTATAAAGATACAAAGTTATTTATAAAGAGAACACCTATTTGAAAATTAGCCGCACCGATTTCGGCGCTCAGTGCTCATGTATCCCGCTGAGAGCAGCCTTACATCGGCTAGTCATTCTGACATTTGAGAAAGTTGTCAATGGGAAGAAGGTTTACCTTCCAACATGACAATGACCCAAAGCACACAGCAAAACTGAGCTCACAGTGGTTGAAGGATGTCTAGATGTGCAGAGTTAGTAGAGACGGAGACAGATCCCAAGAGACTAAAGGCTGTAATTCAAGCAAAAGGTGGTTCTACAAAATACTTACACAAGGGGGTGATCCTTTTTCCAACTCGGTGATTCTGTTTTTTTTATTTATTTTTTTTTCTGACATGTTGGTGTTATATCTTTCACTTGGATGTTACTTGAGGAAATACCGCTGGATAAAACAAAAACTGTGTCCATCTTCATTTCAGGCTGCAAAGCAACAAAATGTGATTATATTAAAGGGGGCAGATTCTTTTCTATACTCACTGTATGTGTGTATATGTGTATATATACACACACACATATATATGCAACTTGCTGGATTTTGTTTAGATGCTAATTACTAACACTGTGTTTAAGAGTGCAGTTAGCTTAAATGATATGCTGAAAATTACCTCAAAGTTAAACCTCGAATTTTTGTGAAGATGCTGGATTTATCTGTGTCATTGCAGGACTTTTTCCCAGAGCACATGGTGTCTGTATCCAGTGAAAGCAATGGAATCATGAACCACTCACAACTTATACAGGTGAGGATCTTCATCTTATGCTATTATTATTATTATTAATAAAGGCGCACAGAGTCATTATCCGTTTCTCAATATGTGTTCTTGTCTGTACTTGTGGGCTTGTAAAACATCATCAGTCGTTGCCCAAGTACTGTTCCAATTCAAAGTGAACATCTAGCCAAGTACATTTCAAACCTCGGATGTGTTTTTGCTCCGCCCCTTTTATCGAGGATGCATCAAAAGGTGATTTGTGCAAACTTGAGGCAGCCAGGTATCCGTGACCCATGAGCATTAATGTCGGAGGAGAAAACCTGCATTATTTTCAAAATACTACTGTTATTATGTCATGAAATACAGAGTTCTGGCATGGAACTCTAGATGGCGCAGTCCAATAGGTCTAACTCAATCTGACCTAATGACATCATTATCACATGGCACATCTGATTAGTTCTCTCCTGTATCAGTAGCCAATGAGCTCACTGCTCAACATTCAAATATATGACTAGTGCTTGCCGTAGCAGTTGCAGCTTGCTTCAGAAACCCTCCACCTTCCCCAGCACCACCTGTATAGATCTGCTATATCTGTATGATCTGTATAATCCCACCAAGGGTTGTCATGACAGAAATTTAGTTCTAAGAGTTTTTCAGACGAGATTTATAAAGATACAAAGTTATTTATAAAGAGAACACCTATTTGAAAATTAGCCGCACCGATTTCGGCGCTCAGTGCTCATGTATCCCGCTGAGAGCAGCCTTACATCGGCTAGTCATTCTGACATTTGCCACTGGCTCTGATGTCTCTGTAGTGGTTAAACATGAGATATAATTAGTTTTAGGTATATCTAACAGGCAATCTCTGGTCTCATGAATCTGTTATTTGTTCCTGGTCATATCATTTTGGCTGAGCACAACGTTTAGTTTCGTAACTTTATATATTTATCTACCGTCGAACAGCTGATGTAGCATACATGTGTATATATTGCCTGAACCACATATTAATGTGTTTTATATTTTTTTGTGTTTTATATTTTATGGATGTGTATTATTGGTTTTATATTTAGTTTTGTTATAAGTTTAGATAAAGTGAAGGTAGTTAAAGTATGTACGCATTGCTGAACCACATTTTTGTAATTGGAAAAAAAAACTAAACAAAACTAAACTGAAAATGAAAAGAGGCTGTGGTGTTTGATATCATATTTCGTGTTATTGTAATTATACAAACAGTGAGGATAACTGGAGTAGGCAAGGCGAGCTTACTGACGTTATCAAGTATGCTGCTGTTCCATTTGCGGAATTACCGGATGTCCACGGGAGTTTGCACTCCCGAGTCGAACTTGCCAAGTACAAACTACCAAGGATGCAAGTCCAAACTTTGTGTACTTGGTATTGAGAAATGGCTATTGTTTCTTCTGCTAGCTATGTCTTTTGGACATTATACAGGCACATACACTGTGTGGAAACAGCATAAACAACACATAAACAAGAAACAAAAGTTTGTTGAAATGTTCAATTCACAGGCGTATGCATCATTTGATCAGGGTAGGTTATATTTCACCCTAAAATCAAAACAACAACAATAAAAATATTAAATAGGTAAATAAAATATTTTTTTTCTTTTGTGGTGTAAAATACTTTTATTATACAGTATAATTATATTTATTGTAATTTGTATGTATATTTTTATTTTCATATAATTTGTATATAATTTAATTTTTTAATGAAATTACATTATTATTAATAATAATTTCCAATCATTTTTGCTTTACTATCACTTAGATACTATTATAGTTTTTATTAATATTTTGATTTAGTTTAAATGTTTATATTTTCGTTTTCATTTTAATTTTAGCTACAGTTTTAGTAATTTAGTTTTTTTTAATCATTATTAGACTTATTTGAAAAAACTATCTTTTTTATATAAATTTTTTAAAATTATTAAACTGTTTTTGTTAATATTTATTTCAGTTTTAGTTAATTTATACATCATGTTAAACTGATTGCAAATGAGAAATGTTGCCTTGGCAACTAGATGAATACAATTTTATTATATATATATATATATTATTTTTTTCAGTTAAAGTTAATTTTATTTCAAGTAATGATTTTTTAAAATTGTTTTAGTTTTGGATAACTATAATATTATTATAATTAAAATATAATAATAATAATGATAATAATTGTCTCTTTACTGTAATTTAAAAAAAACTTTTTTACATTGTTTTTGACATTTTTCATTTTTAACTTTAAAGACTGAGATGGATGAGTGTGTCGTGTCTGATGTTCCTTCTGCAGACCTTTCTCAGTTCCAGCTCTTGTCCTGAGATTCACGGATTCCTTCACGCCAAAGAGCACGGCAGGAAATCCTGGAAGAAGTTCTACTTTGTGTTACGAAGATCAGGCCTGTACTTCTCCAACAAGGGCACATCAAAGGTGGGTTGAGATCGTCACATTCTGCTCGCGGTTAGTCGCTAAAACACTCCACCTCTGATCTCACTGCACAGAGTCTGCAGGGATTAGCTTTAATTGTTCACAATACCACTTGCTCTTACTATAAGAATCCCTTAAATGTGAGCTGCGTGTCTGAAATGCGTCTTGAGTTGCGAGATTGTGCAGAATATCACCGGTTCAGACTCTTATCTGATGAGCCTCGTTACTCTATGAGATATAGTCAGATCTAACAGTGCAGCTTTATGGGGCTTAACTCAATCAAACTGGTAGAGCCGGATTTTGTGTAACACTCGTGGTATGCCAAGTGCTGAACCCTTCAAAGTCACACAACAGGTGATCTGTGTACTCGCACACTACTGTGCCAACCTGCACTGCCCTCGCACTTTTGCTTTCCCTTTTTTTTGTTGTTGTATTTACCACAATAGTGCTTTTGTTAAGGACATAAGAGGAGCTCGCTCTCCACTTCATGATATCAGGCTGTTTCTGTGGGCACTTTTACAAAATAAACTCTCATAAAATGCTATATACACTTCATACGCTCATTACTTTTTTTAATGTGTCCACAAACACTGGACATACTGTATATGCATCAGAGGAAAATTCTATCTTAAATTATGTATTTAGTTTGATAACATAGTTATATAAATTACATTTTGCACATTTTTGGAATTAAATGGGTGACACCTTTGCTTTGTCATTTTAAGGCAAGTTTCATAGCTGGTGTTTTATGTATCTTAAATGCACACAGTAGTTTTCATTGTGTAATTTTGCTAAATTTCAATTATACTTGCACATGCTGGCGTGGATACAACACCACATGAAAATAAGAATAATAAGAATGTTCAATTGAAATTCTATAGAAAATGCTTCAATAAAATAAGGACCATTAAGGGTTTTTTTCTATTGTTTTTTTTATTATAATATAACATTTTTTTATTTTTTGTAAAATTAAAAATAATTATTAATATTATTATTTATAATAATAATAATGCACACACTTATTTTCATTGCTAAATTTGGCAAAATAGCAGCTTGATTGGAAATATTTAATACAATTGTTCACAAGTAATATTTAATATTCTCTCAAGCTTTTCACTGACACTGTCATATTAACGTAATAAATAAATAAATAAAAATAGGAAACAAATTGTTGGTCATGATGGAAATGATGCCACAACTGTGGGACAGTCATAATTTGTAAAAAATGATAATTACATTTTATTTAATTGATTTTGTATATTATATTTATATATTTTTATTTTATTCACTTATTATACACAATCAAATAATAATTTACATCTGTATAATTCATTTTCACACAGTTTTTCAGTTTTAAACACATTTTAATAAAGTAGTTTAACGTTTTTTATTTATATACATAAAACATTTGAAAAGTAGCTAAATAAAAACAAAAAAAATTTTCACATTTTTTTCATTGTGAAAAAATTTCCAATATGTTTTAAATGTGACCTTGATATAACAAAAATAAGTGTACATTTTACATGTGTATATACTGTATATATATATTTTTTTTTTTATTCAAAATTAATGTAAAACATAAATGTGCGAGTATTGAAGAAACACCTGAGTGATTTAATTCAGCCAAGCAATTAGACCAGATTCTGCTGTTTTTTTCCTGGTTTTGGCTGTTATATTTTTGTGTCAAAGGTGGATTTAAATTCTGGGAAAGACTTCATACATGTAAAATAACAAATTCTTTGAAAAATGTTCTTCAAATCCACTTTAGATACTCATGTTCTTTTGATAACCAATTTGAAAGCATGTGAGAGTGTAAATGAGCAGCAGTAGTGCAGCCGCTGAGACAAAGTGAATTGAATTTCAACAAACTGCCTGGCTGTTTGTTTGTTTTTTTCATTCCCAATCCCTCCTCATGTACACAGGTCAAGTCTTTTGTCTCTAGGAGTCTGTGATCGGTCACACATTCTCTTCTCTATATTACATTACAAATTCCAGGCGTGTCGCTCGTGTCCTGAAGGTCTGTAAGATGCCGTTCATGTCTCACATGTTTGGATTTATTCCTCGCTACAGCAGCTTACCGCTGGAACTTCACGCTGTGATGGAATGCGAACACATGCACCGCTCACACCTTTGACTGTTATGATTGATGACTTTTTGAAGTTTATATTGTATATAAATTGTTAGTTAATATTTTTAATTAATTAAAAATACAAAGCTGCATACAAACTATTTATAACATTGATAGTAATTATATAACTATATAACAATTAATGTTTTTTTAATCAGCATATTAGAATGATTTCTGAAGGATCCTGTGACACTGAAGACCGGAGTAATGATGCCGAAAATTCAGCTTTACATCACAGGAATAAATTACATTTTAAAATATATTCAAATAGAAAAGAGTTATTTTAAATTGTAATAACATTTCACAATATTACTGTTTTTACTTGGTGAGAATAATTGGTGATTTACTTTCAAAAACATAAATTAAAATAGTTCAAAAGTTTTCAATAACTGATTACAAAAAAAAAATTAAAATACTTTTATTTAACAAGGACACATTAATCGGTGTCAAAACTTTTGTAACATTATAAATTTTCACTATTTCAAATAAATGCAGTTCTTTCCCTTCATCAAAGAATCCTTTATCACGGTTTCCACAAAAATATGAAACAGCACTCTTTTAATTTCTATTTTGTAATATATAAAAATGATGTAAATATTTGTAGATTACATATTTTGATGGATAACAGAGAAAACTTTTTTTCTTTTATTTATTTGTTTTGTAGATTGATTACTTGTCAATTTAATGGTTAATTTAGGAATAAATAGCAGTTACGTTTGTTTTGGATGTGTAATTGCTATTTTAACACTTATTATTATTATTTTTATTATTATTATTATTATTTTCTCTTTTCTAAAGGAACCCAGACACTTGCAGTTCATAGCGGAGTTCGGTGACAGTGACGTCTACACGTTATTATCTGCCAAAAAAGTTTACGGCGCCCCGACAGACTACGGCTTCTGTGTGAAGGTAATTCAGTGCAGAGACTTTCAGTCTTCAAATCACACAGTGGTTTTATGATATAATAAAGCCTCATTATGTCTCCGATTTATTGTTTATTGTGGGTTCTATAAAACTGGCATCAAGCAATCTGTCTGGCTCCTTATCTTTCGTGAACTTTGTAATGTTTCTTTAGTGTTAAAACATTGATCTCTGCTCTGACTTGTGACAGTAGGAATATTAGAAAAATATATTGTAAAATCTATGTATTGTATTAGTTAAAAGATGATCGCTGTTTCACAATCATGACTGCTTTATGGATACTTACCAAATAAAGGAAATGAAATATTGCTTTTGTTATTTAAGACAGTGAAACAAGACAATTGAAACTTTAGAAAAGCTTTTGGGAGCTTATACTTATAATTATACACTTTAGCATCATGAAAAATATTCGACAAGACAAAGTAAGTTTATTTATATAGCGCATTTCATACACAATATTAATTCAATGTGCTTAACATAAAAATGATTTAAAAAAATAGTGATCATAAAAATGCACACAAGAGATAAAAGCAATAACAAATAAAAAAAATTGTTTAAATTAAAGAAAAAAAATTATAAATTAAAAAGAAAAAAGTATACATTGAAATTAAAATAAGAGACATATGAAAGAAAAGGACTGTTCATTCAAGACGATAAATGAAAGATCTTATTTGAAAGGAAAACTGAGCTCTAAAGTATAGATGTCTCCTCATATCCAGGCAAGCAAGTCGAATTCTGCACGTGACCTGAAACTGCTCTGTGCGGATGATGAGCAAACCAGGACATGTTGGGTTACAGCCATGCGCCTCTTCAAGGTGAGAACTGCCTCTCTCTCCCTCGGTCTCATTGTAAGGTTTGTTCCCATTGCACCTCTCAGCGACAGTGGTCCTGCTGCGTCCTCAATCTGAGGCTCTCTGTTAAAATGCACTTCTGACACTCCTGACACAATAAATTGCAACAACAAAGCAGACAGAATTCATTCATTTTCAGTTAGGTTTGACAATTTTTGCCGACATGAGTGGCAAAGTGATATTGTTATTTTTGTTGATATAATGCATATGCATCACTGAGATTTATATACATTACATTGCAATGGACTACTTAAAAAAACACACACAAATGGAATCCGTTTTTTTTTTTTTTTTTGCATTCAGCAATGTTTTTAACTTGAGATGTTATGCAGCTTTAGAAGCAGCATTTAGAATAAATGTATACCACCATTCAAAAGTTTGGGGTTGGTAAGATTTTTTTTACTAGTTTCTATTATAATATATTTTAAAACATAATTTATTCCTGTGATGTAAATCTGAATTTTCAGCATCATTACTCCAGTCTTCAGTGTCACATGATCCTTCAGAAATCATTCTAATATGCTGATTTGCTGAAATCAGAAGCCTTTTGAGGTTCCATTTCAGTTAGGATGCTCTCTCAGAAGGCAGCTGCCTATGTAGGCTGTAGGGTTGTGATGGTGAGGAAATTTTCCCACTGGTTAATCGACGTGTGACAACACCGATAATACCGCTATCACCGTGGGGGCAGGGGCGTTCCCTCTTTTTCTCGTTTTCTTCACTTTTAAATAGCTTGCAAAAGCTGCATGCGCATTTTACTTTCACTTTCAAATAGCGGCAATTCGGCGTAAAGCAATTGTT